CCGGCAAATACGGTACTCAGCAAGCTAGATAGTGATCTTTTAGGAGTGTTTACTCCATAAAATAGAAAGCCCAATAATCTACAACAAAATATTTTCAAATTTACCAACATTTGACTTGCAACCAGCTTCTCAGAAATGTTCCCATGCAGAAATTGAGTAATACCTTAAAGGTATACAGAACTTTCACTCCAATGTTAGAAACAAACATGAATTTATTAGCACTTTATGGTATAAAGGCTCAAGATTAATTATTATGGTAGGAGGAATAAAACTAGAAAAATAAACTGTGCTTGTGAAATTGACAGAACGCTTTGTTAGAAAAAATAATTGGTCTTCTCCAAGGAGTTTCAAATGTTCAAATTTTAAGCTTATGTTTTTTCATTTTCATAGACTCACTTTAGAAAGAAAAGAGTTGGCATCTGGAAAAATATTTTCTAACCAAGTAGATATACAGTTAGAAAAAACTAAAAAAAATTGAACAAAAGGGACAAGATAAAATATCCCTCTTACACTTGGTCAAATACCAGGAGATTTCTCGAATCACAGCCTCTCTTATGCTCCTAGGGAGCCCAAAGACAGCACAATAATACAATCAGAACAAATAATGTTTTTAGAAAATCATTTTTAAGTAATCAATCCAGACTTTCAATCCATTCTATAGCTTGTAAATGCTACAGTTAGTATTAGTAGCTTTGGCAACTGTCGGACCCAGGAAAAATCTCTGGGCAGCTGTTTTTTTGTTAACTGCATAGTCACGGTTAAGTTGCTGAAAATCTCCAGGCTTCACTTCCCTCAGCTGTAAAGTGGGAATAAAGATACATACACCACATAATATTAAATGGGATAACATTTGTAAAACCTTTCACTGAGTGCCTAGTCCAGAGTACTAGGTGCTCAATAAACAGAAATTAAAGTATTCTTTGATATGATATGTAAAAATTCTCTCCCGTGTTTCATAATGCTTCCAATTAGTTTGGGATAAATGTCAAAGCCAGATGCCTGAAAAAATGCAAAAACCCTACAGTTCACTGACTTTAGGACACAATTAGGATACTATACCTTCTCAAAAGCACACTGAGGGTTTCTGCAAACAGCGGGTTTGCAGATCACAATATCACCATGACAACGGCAACTCTGGCATGAATCAGGCTCCCAAATTGTGGCGTCCTGCAAAGAAGCATAAGCTCTGAGTTAAAATCCGACTGGTCAAGGTACGAGTACACAAAAACATCACCATCAAGAGCCCCACAGTCTGAATGACTAAAAAGAAAAAGAAGTCACAGGCACACACAGCGCTTGCTGGGCACTGATTAAACCTTGAGAGGCAATAAAAGCAGTATAATCCATTTCACCAGAGTCAACCCACGTAGCCAAAGACAAGGGCATGCAGCAGAGAGCTGTCGATATCCCGAGTAAAAACCATCGATTGACCTGAAACGTCAAGAGGACAAGCTGCTCCCTGACTTGAACTTTCTCTTAGCTGTTAACCAGCAGAAATCATCACAGCCTGCTTAAAGAAAAAAATGACACTTGGACGAGCACTAACCAGCATCCTAACGGCAGAATTTGCCACTAGACAACTATCAGCACTTTCCAGCTCTTTGCCACTACACACTCTAATGTTCATCAGAAACAAGAAGCTCAATATTTTTAAGGCAGATCAACCAACCTCTTGAGTGGTGATGACCAGAATGTATCCAGCTGTATGCTAGGCATATCGGGTTTGTACAAATAAAGTATAGATACGGGCACCAGCCATAAGGACCTCAGAAATTATTTTGGATCATGAACATGAGAGTATTAAATAAACATAAATTGATGACACTATATCAGTTCAACAAATTGGGAAGAAAAGTAATGGTCATAAACAGAAAAGTGAAACTGTGCTCGGTGCAAAAGTCTTAGGAATTTCCTTCCTATTTGCCACCTTCCATCATGCTGAATCTCTGCTTCAATTGGGCCCATTTTAAAGTACCTTTGAGCCCAACTATCACACCGATCACACAGAGACCAGTTTCTGTTCTTTGAAAGGCTGCTCTAATGATTTCAAACTAAAGCAGTAAAGATACCACAGACTGTATCGAAATACATTTTCCTAACTCAAATTCCTACAATATATGGGTTGAAAACGGCCATACTGTTGGCTAAGTTTTAAACACCGAACCACTTTTAAGAGTGTTGTCCATGTTAATCTCCAGCTTAAAACGGTGGCATGGCCCATCTTTACCTCCGATGGGATCAAGTGCAAACACCATAACCCAGCATTCACCTCTGTCCCTGACCTTGGCAAATCTCACAGTCTTGAGATTTTCATTCCCCCACGTAAGTTGGTCAAGCCATTGGAGAGCCCCAGGCTCCCTTCCCTGGTCTCATAACATTCCCTCCTCTGGAGAGCTCCACCCTTCCCCGACTCCCCCAGAGATAGTGTGCAAGCCAACACACTTCTTTGAAGCCTCAACTTCAAGGATGAATCATTTTCTAACCCTTAACCCTGCACATCTCACACCCCCACTCATGTGTGGCTCCTCACCCATTTTCTGTGACCCCACTTAGCTTGCTGGATCAGACTGTAAGCCCCTCAGTGCAGGTATTGTCCTTGGCTGGCACACCTTAGGTCCTTCATAAGCGTTCACAGTTCATAAGCTGCTTAGTGAAGACTTTTCCTTCTTTCTAAATGTTTTCATCCTTTTTTCCTCAGTCAACCAATTGAAGTGCCACTAAAATACTTTGGGGTGGAGTAAGAGAAGTGTTTAAGCTCCTCATAGAGTTATCAGAACACTAGCATTCAACTTGAACTAGATTCGCTGGGAAACTGGTGGATGCTAGCAACAGACCATTTCACACCAAAAGGCTGAAACCAAATGTGATGGTTAATGTTCTGTGTCAACTTGGATAGGCTATGGTGCCCATCTGCTTGGTCAAACAGCAGCCTAGATATTGCTATGAAGATGTTTTGTAGATATAATTAACACTTATAATCAGTTGATTAAATAAAGGACATTACCCTTGATAACATGGATGAGACACATGCAGTAAGTTTAGAGCAAAGACTGAGGTTTCCTGGAGTGGATGGAATTCAGCCTCAAAACCTGTGAGTAAGGGGATGGGGGGAGGTAGAAGAGGGTGAAGAAGGTCAAATATATGGTAACGGAAGATTTGACTTTGGGTGGTGAACACATAATGCAATATATAGGCGATGTATATAGAATTGTACACTTGAAATGTATAGAATTTTATTAACCAATGTCACCCTAATATATCTAATTTAAAAAAAACAACCCGACTGTAACATAGAAATTCTGCCTTGGTTTCCAGGCTATTAGCATGCCCTACAAATTTGAAAATTTCAGACTCACGACTGCAACTTCAACTCTTTCCTGACTTTCCAGCTTGCCAGCCCTCCCTACAGATTTGGAACTTTCTAGTCACCACAATTGCACAAGCAATGTATTATTTCTAAAATAAATCTTTCTTTATATATATAAAGATACACATATGTCTCCTATTGCTCCTGTTTCTCTGGAGCACATACCAACACTGGTACAGATGTACATGGATGTACACAACATTCCCAAGCAAAAAATGAAGTCATCCTTTCTGGTTGAAAAATGTTAAATGCATAACCTCTTAGGGAATGTACTTCAAACCCAAAGTCATTTAAAAAATAAAAATATATATCTGAGGTGAGATTACATCCCAGTAGCCAATTCACAAAACATCTGAGTCAAAGCAAATGAGCACTAGAACCTGACTTGGAATCCCTCTGAATTTCTTTCTCGCTATTGTTATTTCAGACTAAATTGGCACTAGTGTGCCAACCACCATCTATTCTGAACTCAAAGAACAATGACAAGCAGGTGAGGAAAAACAAATTTCATTCCTAAGCACAATGTAATACAGGTTCCCTGATGATTTCAAGAAAACAATATCAGTTTCATGATACAGATTAAATAAAAATGACAACTTCCCAAAGCCAGCAGCTACCACTTATGGACCACAATCTTACGCTAACTTGTGCCTGACGCTTGGAGCAGGAAGCACTGATGGAAGGAGGTATGTGTGGTGCTGGAGGAGAGTGGCCTGCTTCGCTTCCCCAACCTCTGCCATCATCGTAGAGGGCTGGCCCAACAGAGAGGGACACAAGTGCACATCAACATTATGCAAAGCACTTACATGCATGACAACCATGAAGCTAGCACTATCCTTATTATGACTTTTCCCATTTTACAGATGAGGAAACAGGATTCAAGAGATAGGGCAATTTGCCCAAGTTCACAAGGCTCTATGAGACCTAAGAACTCAGGCTCCAGAACCAGGCTCCCTGGGCTTGAACCCTGGTGTCACCATTTATTAATGGTGAGTCCTTTATCAAGTTAAGGTGTCTGTGTTCTAGGTTCCTCATCTGTAAAGTAGAGATGACAAAGTACTTAACTCATAGGGTCACTGAAAAGATGAAATGAGATGACATATTTAATGAGATTTGAACAGTGCCTGGAACTTACTAAGAGTCCATTAAATATAATTTATTTTTAATTCAAATGCTATCTATGATGTTACTGGCATTTAAAAAATATCCTCTAAACATTTCCTTTACTCAAAGTGAAAACAGTCCCATAAATTCCTTGACTTTTCAATCTTCATGCTCCAGCCTACATAGGTAAAAGAAAGTGAAATTATTATTGAATTAAGACCCTAGCACTGGAAAGATCCAGGACTTTGAAGTAGAAGGGAGCGATGAATCTACAGATTGCGTTTTCAGGATGACTTAGGTTTGGAAAACCCTAAGTTGCCGTAACCATGAACCCATGGCCTCCTATTACTCAGACACTGGATGGACACACCAGCTCCGTGTACTCCCGTCAGGTAAGTATGGCTCTAAGGTACCAGTCATCTTTCGTCTCCCAGGTGCGACATTCTCACACCAGGTATTAAGTTCCTCTCTATACCTCAATTATTTCCTCAGTGACCCCAGACTGAAAAACAGTCCATTACACTTTTTAGCAGCTCTCAATCACTGGACTTGGCTTACTGAACTCTAAGCAGGATCTTCTAAAAGCAGAATAACTTCACTTTCATTCACGGAACAATAATTTTTTTTCTATATTAATTCAAAGTTAAATTTATCTGGGCCCAGGAAGCCTTTCTGAATTTGCATATCTGTCTTGCATAGACCGACTCTTCAAGGAAGGAGATCTCATTTTATTCCTCTTTGTATATCCCTATCATCTAGCACAGTTTCTGAGTGTTGGCTGAAATCATTAATGAACAGCCCTGAGTACTTGCTTACTCTCAAGAAAATACCTATCCATGTGAATTGAGATACCCCAATTAGGATGCAAGATCTTGAAAAAACAATGTTTATGTGATGTTGCTACCAAATCCAAATAATGTTGGAGGTTATTACTTCACTGAAATAAAACTATACCTGAAAAAAAATGTTCATCTAGGCATTAGACCTGTCAAAAAAAAAAGTCCTTATAATAATGTCCTCATAGAGTAAATAATTTATGATTAATTTTAAATAAAGTGAGCCCTTTACCAAGGCCTACGTAGATAGCCGTATATTTTTCAGATCTAAAACTTTACGAATCAATTTCTATGGTCTCATGAAATTGCTTTATGAAAGTAGAAATACTAGAGTTCCTCAATAGCTAAAACTTTGGATAAAGCCATGAAATCCAAAGAAATAACATTGTAAAATTTTACAGATTTTCCATGTTACTATTGCAATTCTGTCACTTTATAATCCTCTCTTCCAATCTTACACACTGTGAAAAGAAATAGTCTTAAAATCTTTTTTTTTCTAGAATATAGGTTTAAAAGATTAGATTTTGACAAACCTAAAAAGCAATCAAAACATGATTCGTTTAAACAGTTATTTATATTTTTAATAACATGTGAATAAAATATTCTTGAAAATAATATAGTACCGCCATCCCTAAATATTTTAAAGTAATAGCAAGGTGCTTCAAGAAGAAAAACAAAACAAAACAAAAAAAGTACTTCATTAAGTATTTATTGAACACTTGATTAGTCCTAAAAATAAACAATGAATATATGTCTCATCAATACTCAAATTTCTGGGGAAAATTATTTATAGTATTCTGTCAGAGCAGTATATCAACTGACAACATAAATTTTCTTTCATCTGAATGGCATAACCCCAC